CGACGATCGACGTGACTACGCGTGATACAGGTGGTGTCTAGAAGTTTTCAATACTAGTGTAGTGTTCTCTTATTTTTTCACTGAATTCAGAATAGAGTAAATGAAAGATTATGAGAAGATGAACTTGACTACAGTTGGAAAGTTTAGACAGAAAATGCTTTGATTAAATTTAGTGCAATGTGAAACAATGTTTGTCGCTTAAAGGACTAAAATAAAGGATAAAGGATAAAGCTCTCGGCGTCAATCAATCCCTGAGGGATGCGCCATGCATTCGACTTCAATTTTTAACTTCGTTTGAGGTGGTTGAATGCACATGTGGCCTTTACATTGACTCGCGGTGGCCTTCCGCTGAACCGAGTCAGTGCTGCTTATCCTCCCAGACAAGTCTGAGACCTGTCTGGTACCAATTTACCGACCCCGGAGGGATGGATGGCTTGGTGAGCCATGAGCGCGGGATTGAACCAGTGACCTCGTGTGCGACGCAGGGCACCTCTAACCACTTCGCCACATGCGCTCAAGGACTAAAATATAACTGATGATTATTTTCTGTCTTTAATAATTGCATAGCTTTATCTCTTGCCATAGGAGCGAGTAGGACGGTGGTAGTACTGTTGATTACCACGGGCATGGCTCTGGTATGATCTTACATTTGGACTACCAAGCGTCTTATCCCTCCGGAGTAGCTAATTTGATTCTAATAGACCACAGTATGCGATAGATATGTATGCACTCGCTTCTACAATGTTTGATGAAGCTATGCACATGGCTAATCCTCCAAGGACTGATCAACACCAAAAGCTTCACCAATCGTGATAATGAAATGTCAATTTCTCTACAAAGTCTCTTGGGAAAGGATTTTTTCCAGCACAGTGGAAATGTCCACTCAATACACTTTGTCTTAGATTCTACTCTCTAATAATCGCAACATTGTTCAACATTTTAGTGAATCGTGGCGTTTGCCATTATTGAATGCCTGGGCGCTCCATTACTGCTATATTGGGATCTCAGGAAAGACGATACTCTATCAGTATCTAATATGTCAATAAGAGGAGATGGATAACTGTTTCCAAAGCAATTCCCAGGACCGACTTCTCATTAATCTCGACATTCACCAACACTATCTTCTAAGTGAGCAAACACCAATCTGTTAAGAACAAATTTTATTCAATACTGACTGACGTTTTATCGCTTCCACGCTTGTAACAAACGTCAGATTGGTGCGCATTCTACTAATTCAAAGATTTTCGCATTCCTAGCAGGAAAAAAACCCAGTACCTAATTTTCAATAGTATGGAAAACATCTTCTTTCAATCATCTACCATCTTGTCCATCCTACCACTTATAAAAAGGGCTGAAGAAAATGAAATCGCCGGAAAAATTGCCCGTTGTTGAACAAATATTATAGCAAAAGCTTTGTGCCTAATCAAGAAGAAAGCACTAACTTATCAGCTGACTTGTTTGAAGATGAATCACTTTTGACTCTTTTATATCTCTGCTTCTTTCGGCACGAAAACATACTGTAGTCCGCTATTATGCTTCAGCCAAAATCAACTTGAAGATCAATCAAAAGCAAAACATTATAAGCTAGTAATGGCACAGTAAAAGCTCAAATACTCTCGGGTTGAGTTTTTGCTTTACCAATTTCCCACATCAATAGTAGACAGAATAATTTGCTTTCGAAATCCCATAATTCAATTTTTCTAATTCATTTCTTGCTCTTTTCTCATTTTTTCCTTATTCGGCGTTAACTAAGATAAAATCTCACCTTGAAAGCTGTCATCGCAAAACACATCGTGTTTACTTGATCCACACCTTTTTTATAACTTCTTTTTAACACTTCATTAAGTCGAACACTTCTCAAATCTCCATAATAATAGGTAAAGTAGCGATTGTTTTTGTGGAATATATCGGTTATCGAATACTAGTACGATATAAATAAAAATGGCTAACTTTGAGGATCGAAAAGATTAGTAATTGACAACTGTTCCTGTTTTAATTGTACTTTTCATTCTTTTGTGGAGGAAGGTGGTTAAGTACTATTAAGATCTTTATTTGTCTCTTTTGAGCGCCAGAGCTTGTCAGTCAGCTTCGCTCTCTTGACGGCTTGACAGACACGAGGGACATCCTATGAAGCCTTTGCTGTTTTCGTGAAGCACCTGGTCACCACTTAACCCTCCGGGGGCCTCGTGTGTTGTTTAAGTTCATTATTTTCTAGAGGCCTTTTTCGCCAAAAGATGTTTCACCAGACTTGCAGCAGTCATTAGATAGTTGAGAAGCGGCTATCACAGAACTCCACATAGTTCCTGGGGACGTTCATATTGCGCTGTTGCAACGAATTGAAGACTACGTTTCTACTTCTGAGTAATCGGTCCGCGTCGTGAACATCATAGCGGATTTATTGGTAATATAAAATGAAAATTCAAGACCGATACTATAAAGAATGATAAAGAAAGTCCCTTCTACAATTATATTAGAAGTGCCCAACTTCCAAAGTACACTACTATCGGATAGCTGGTTCACAGTGATCGATCAAGTGACTTCGCATGCAGTACGTAGTATCATTTCGAGCAAGTAGCCCTTCGCACATTAGAGTTTACTTGCGCCGAAAATATGACAGAGTTCATAAAAAGAATGGAGCATCAGTGCAAAAAAACTGCGGTCTGGAAAGAGTTAAAAGTTCAAAACTCAAAGTGTATGGGGGTGATCAATCTTTCAACAATGTGTCATGAATTCGACTTTTGATATCTTCGAGAAGACTGCATGCTATTTGCCTTAGGCAATGAAATACAATAGTCGATCGACGCGTGAATTCAGGGTTTTTCTATCGCCCATCGAAAGTTCATTATCGAATTACCAATCCCGGAATGGCACCAGAGAGCGACATATTGTGTTGAATCAATGAGAGCAATCATGTGAGTTATGCAGGAGAGCTCTATCCCTGCCATACGTAAGCCCCTTTCTTCTGTAATGGAGAGAAAAATTGTTTAGCTATTTGAAATTTACCGAATTCGATTCACTCAATGATGAAATTCTCGTTTGAAAAAACGTACACAGGATTAACCTTATTCGGACTCTATGCGAAGAAGAAGGGTCCAACGTAAGATGAGGGTCGTCAAACTGCAAAAGTGGTTTTGTATTAAGCACGGAGTTATTTCATCTTTGTCAACAATTGACTTCCACTTAATCATTCTTGAAATTGATAACAAAATGAAGGTAAAACTCTTATCGTTCATCAATCGCTGAGCGATTACCCACGCATTCGATTTCATTAGGCATCATTAGAGGTGACTGAATGCGTATCTAGCCTAAAAAATGATTTGTATTGGTCTACAATGAATCGAACATTCGTGCTATCCTCCAAACAAGTGTAGTATCAAACTGTCACTTTCAGAAGGATAGGAGACATGCTAAGTTCTATATTTCATGTATTGCAGAACATCTCTACTCTAAAATGGAAAGCGTCGTGCTTGAAAGTCGTCAATGGTTTTTTGCCGACGGCTCGCTGTATATCCTAGAAAGATCTGTGGCACCACTTTGCCGCTATCCGCGTGCTTGGATTTTTTCCAGAACTGTGGCAGCGAATAATTACTGTCCTTCATAAAGAATTATTGTTAGCTGGTCAATCGGATGGAAATGATTGATTTCTCCGATCAGATTTTATTGCCAGTGTATGAAATCACTGCACTAAGCTACTGAGGATTTTTTGTAACTTTGAGAAAAACAAGGAGCTCAGATGAAGTCTAAACGTCTATGAACTCTACTTTAGCTTCGTATAAATGGTTGTTCACTGATTTCTAAATGTAACTAATTTTGAAGGCTTTTGTAGACATAGTTTTTGTTTTTGAACAGAAATATTGCACATCGCATAAAGGAGCACTGAGATCCCATTACTGGATAATACGAAATGTGTTTCTATTAGTTAATATATTTTCCAGTAACACATTGAATTCTTGATGTCATTCGTATTTTTTGGCAGCATATTTTATGCCTTTCATAAGATCTGTTCTGGGCACTTATACAGTGCAATACACGTGTTTCGGACTTGGAGCCTCGTCAGTTGCACCGTATTTCTCGTCTGAGCCAATTTGTAGATTCGTTCTCGGATCGTTGGGGTGTGTTGCCTCTTGCCGGCTAATACTCAAAGCTAGCATTTCGAGTTCATATATTCTAGTCGTGATGCTCAACTGATTCTTCAGTGCAATTTCTCCAAGCGTTTCGCAATCACTCGAGACAAGCTGTTATCGGTTTCGACTCATAAGATTGTAGTTCGTATAGAGACAAATGAGGAAAGGTGCTCTGCAATACGCCTTGTTGGTTAATTCGATCTCGAGCACCGCTCATGAAACCTTCCATCCTTGAAAGAAATTGGTTGCAGGTTCATATGAGAGAGTAGAAAACTTGATTTGAAATACTGATAAGTCATCACAAAACATTGCACTAGACATTCGTGCATTCTCTGACCACAACGATGTTCAATGACACTAGTCTTTGAAAATGTTTTTAGCCGTCCTTTCGAGTTTCGTTACTTTACATTTTGTTCGTGGTCACATTTCGGCTTAAGCGCGTCTCGGCGATATCGCCATCATCAGAGCCTTCACTCAGCCACTCACCCTGTATCGTAGGGATAGATCGACGAAGAACAGTACTCTATCCGCAAGATAATTTATGGCCACCCGCGCACCTAAATCAATGGCTAGCGGCTATCATGAACAATGAATACACTGATCTCAACTTTCTCAAATTGATCTTCCTAAATTCTTTACCGCCGAAACGTGTATAAATCGAGACATAGCCACGGACGATTTGTAATAACAAACCTAGAAAAAGACGTCTAAAAACATTTTCAAGGACTATACATGGATATTTTTGTCGAAGCTTCAAAGAAGCAGTCGAATAAAGAAGATGTTCAATGATTTTGAATACCTGGCGTAGACCACTAGTATTGAGTCAACGCCGATCTCCTCTTTTCTTCATAGGAAATGAGTGGTGAGCAAAATTTCAACCTCGGGCGGGAGTTGAACCCGCGTTACTCGTACCGGGGGCTCGTGCTACCATTACACCAGCGAGGCCACCAATTACCCACCTCTTATTCTTTGACATCCCACTATCATTGCTATCACCACTAACCATTAACAGGTTTGGTTTGGCTGAGCAGACATGGCTTTCTAAACCCAGTTAAGCTGACAGCCACATATGAATGTTTTTTCTTTAACCTTATAGTGGAACACCGATCTATGTACAAATGTGTAAATGTGCAGGAATGATATAAGATGAAAATGATATACGTATTTTCATCCCTTAACGATGCGCCTTATATACAGCTCCATCAGGTAAAACTGTTGTGAATGGATATTTAGAAATTGAATGCAAGTCACAATGACTTGTTGGAGCCTACCGATGTATGAAGTCAGTGCTGTTATCTCACTCTAGGCCGAATGGCTGAGTTGGTTAGTCCACCGCTCGGCACAAGACCAATGATCGCCTTAATAGGGAAAACCTTTATACTATATGGTAGCCATTCCCACTACTAGTGCACAAACCTGTAAGCCAATCCATCACAGAAGCATAGTGTGCCTATCAAATGAGATCTCTCGCGTCTTATAACTTCCAGTAAATCGACTAAGACGTTTTCTATAGCATTATAACTACCCGACTGTTCAGAATAGCTCACATAAGACAAGCTCTTCGGTGTTGTATAAAGCAAGAGAGTTCTACACTTACCGTTAAAAAGATATCTGAACTGTTATCACTAATCCACACAGTACACATTACAGAATTTGCCTATTATTTTACTTCCCTTCGTTCACAAAAGCAAACTTTTTCAGCATTTTCTCTGTATTTTGGAGCACTTTCATTTCCTTGACAAAATGACCTGACAGTCTTAGAAAAAGGTAGCATTGATTCCTAGCAAGAATCTTGTTGTTTTTTTAAAATAAAAATTCATCAGGTGACTGTTAGTTTTTATCACACTCTCTCTCGTATCCTTTCGCCTATTTCTGATGCTTTACTATTGAAATTGCAACTCAACTGGTTTGTAGTCAGTGGTTGCTGTCGTTACGTACTCAGCGCTCACTATAACTATAAAAAGTCGTTGAAGACTAATAATAAGACCAAAATTTGTTCTCAGAGGTGCTCAGCGCTTTACGGGCTCCAATGTCCTTCTGTTTTCACTTATTTACGATACTTAATTTCTAGAGAACACAAAAGTGTGGGCATATATAATGTTTGCAGCCTATGCACATGTATTTTTCATTTCATCAGTTTCGAAATATTTCAGACGAATAAATTTTGCTTTAATTAATATTGACGAATCTTTGAGAAGATAATTTTCTGCAAATTATATAAAGATTTTTCTGCCTGACAATAATCACCTGTTGACAGTAGTATCACATGCTAAACCTCTACGAACCTTAACAGGAATTTGTTCAAAACTGCGAAAATTTAATAAGGTTCTCCGTTTGAGCCTACAAAGAAAAATCTACACAATTTCAACTCCATCCATTGTAAACACGAATATGAAAAAACATAGCCTCTCTAAACATATTTCGCTTACGTAAACTTTAAGGGCTTGGATATACGAATTTTCAAAATTTTGTTTTTTTTCTTCTATAATCTCTCGGCGTTGCTCAACTAATGATGGTCAGGCTATACATTCGACTTTAATAGGCGTCGTTAGATGTGGTTGTGACTGAATGCAAATTTGCCTTTTAACTGACTCAAGATGGCCTACCGATGTGTAAAGTCAGTGTTGATGTATTAACATAAGTCATATTAATTTGCAGACCGCGAAGGAATAGAAGATTTCGTGAGGCAGGGATCTCGATGGAATAGTGGAATACTCACTGAGCCAACAAAATTTTTGCTTTCAAATATCATATGAAAACTCCAATTTATATGGAGGAAAAAGCCCGTAATAGCGTTTCTTATAATTACATTCAGCAGCTGTTTCTCCTGATATCTTTTCAAATATGACAATCCGATCTATTCACTTGAGACCTATGAGGACACTTTGTACTCTAATCACTATGTTGTTCTATCATACTGACAATTACATTTTCAAATAGTACGTTCTAGTACAACAATCTTTGAGCCATCTAAATTTACCGAGGCTTGCAGTTCATGGCGATGCGCTATACTCATAACATTATCAAAATCTTAAAAATTTTTGAATTGAAGTTTGGTTTTTTTCGTAGAATATTCATTACAGCTATGGAGGATAAGACCGCCCGTGGCGAAGTAATTAGACCTGCTCTGCGATACACATGACGACCACTTGATGGTCGATGGTTTGATCCCGAGCTCGAGACCCACGGAGCCTTCCATCGCTTCGGAGTCGGTGAATTGGTACCAGACTTTTCTGGGAAGATAGCTGCACCTACTTGATACAGCGTTAGGCATCACTAGTCATAGTAAAGGTCAGATATGCATTCAAACGAAGCTAAACACTGAAGGTGAAAGAATGACGCGTTCCTCAAGGAATGATTAACACCGGAAGGTTTTAGAGCTCTCGTAGAAAATAAAGAGTGTGTAAGGTTTGTATAGCTTATTGATTGGCAAATGCTGCCTTAAAATTTCAGTTGTTCTCAAGGACATGGAAGAATTTTGCCACCTTAACAAACGGATTTTCATCACGTGATATTTTTTGTCCCTTGTAGAGTTAGTAATTCCAAACGACGCAAACACAGCATGACTGACTCATGGCAAGAGCGTGTAAATTGAAAACGACTTTTATGTGTATCGAAATGAATATCTATTGAGTAATCAGTAATTAGTAAAAGCTCAACGAACTGGTTTGCCTCAAAAACACCACTCAATTTTTCCGAACTGTTTTCTTTGTTCTGCTCGAGAAGGGAATTTAGACCACAAATAAGAATACCATAAGAGGCAGAATTTTAGACCATAAGACTGACTTATATACCAAAATACGCACACACGGTCATTAATGGTGCAGAGCGCTATGAACGCTTTAGAGCTCATATGGTCCGCACTGAAATAGAAAGTAGTTGTTGCGAGCAAGCCAGTTCGTGTGAAAAACAGGATAAGATCTTCTCAGCCTTATTGGCGTGGATATACCTATAGCTGCTTTTTTTGTACATTTATCGCGGCCCACATTTAAGAGATTGAAAATTTTGTCTGAGCATTTTCCACTTGAATACTAATTATCATTTGCCAGTGCTTTCTTTCATTTCAGAGGCAGTTGAATGAGCCTGCCAGGTATTTTCTTTGGCGAGGACTATTTTACATCCACTGCTAAATCTACGTGAGTCATCATGTATAAAATTCATGACAGTGAACTGAGCGACGCCTTCACAGTGAAGAGTTTTCAAGGACACTGCTCTGCAAGGAGAAATGCTACTCATAACTTTTTCAAGAAGGCTCCATTCTGTGCATTAAAGTATGGTAAAGCACTGAGACACTCACTTTTCACATTCCTATTGAATGAGTTTCTGGTCTATTTTACTTATTTCGTTTTCATGTATACATCACATACCACGTGTCATATTTCGCTGAAAAAGACTTTTTGAAGATACCGTAGTTGGTAGGTGAGTATTTTTCTTTCCGACAACGAGGTTTCAAATTACACGCCTACTATTATTCTCACTCTAAAAATCAACTATGTGCAGCGGCTGCCATCGGAAAAAAGTGAGTTTTGTTACATAGGGCAATGTATAAATCCTGAAATTATTTTCTATTAGATAACAAAGAGAACGAAGGTGTACACTTGCAATCTCTGAGGTTTTCCTTTGATGTCGTGCTTTGTTTCGACTCATCCGTACAACTTCGTGGAGCAATGGTCGTCAAATGCTGTTCCTCATGATGTAAACGGAGTCGATCTGTTTACACGACCCAAGACCACACATTGTGAGAATCCTAGCACTCTTTTCACTCGCCTAGACTCGTTCATTCGTGATCTACGAAGATCTTCGGATACATGTGTGGATTTAGACTCTTGGCGGTTTGATTTTCCTCATAAATGTCCGCGAATACTGGTCAAGTCGATTCTTCCACTGATTCTGGAGCATGTTAGAGTGTTCGCATTTCTCTATTAGTAATACAGGCCTGCTCTTAGTGGATCGAAATGAGCCAGCCGATTCGGGCAAGGGTGGTTGGACTTTGCCAATTCCGGAACTGACCAATGCGTCTGTCTATGCATCGCTTTCGGTGCATTCTTTCAATCTTGAAAGCATGATAATATTTGGAAGTCTGAATTTCCTCCTAATTCAGTTTCATGTTGCTTGCGTGTGACGACTAAATTTTAGATAATATAATTCAAAAAAGGATGCTGAGTGGTGTGCAAAACTTTCGACTCCTGACGAAATTGAGCTGAGTTTCGCTTAGACTGACAGCGTCATCGCTAGGAGGAAGCGTGGGTTATATTAGTGCCTAAATTAAGAGGTTTTGCATACCTTCAATATCTATGAATATATGATTCAGCATCACAACGCCACTACAAAGCAGTAAAACAAAGACCTCTTACACATCATTTGAGCAGATACAGCTTGATGTGAAGGGGTACTTTGTTAACACATGTGATCTTTCGTGCGGTTCCGCACCCTGCTCCAACTAAATCCTCTTCTCCTTGAGTCGTGCAAATTAGCAGCAGACCTGTCGAGAAGGACAAAAGCGTGATCTTCCTATGTCATTAGACGCTCAAAAGTCGTTCTATGGGCGGAATATGCACTCAACTGCCCCTGCGATGCTGAAGGTAATCGAATGCATGGCGTATTCCTGAGAGATTAATGATCGAACGCAGATTACTTTATCACTTAATTCTCACTCGTTCTATCCTTCTCTGGCTTTTGCATACAATTCTGGTTACAATTTTTTGTTGAGGTGGTTGCTACTTTCTTCAAATCTAAGTAATAACTACTACAAGCCTCCTATGAGATTTGATGCGATAAGTAGACACGCTATTCCATGGCGCTCACTTCTGGGAAATCGAAATAATTTACTATTCATTATGTAATTAGTGCTTAAATTAGTAACTTTAAAAATTCCAACACTTTAATTGATTTACAAGACATGCTATTACCAATTTCATTCACAAAGTTGTCATTTCTCCATTGAT